TCAAGGCCCAAGGGGGCAGGTAGGCGTGGGGTCGGTGGATCATGCTGTGGCTGCAGGCGGCTCGAGATGTCGACAGTTTCGTCGCCATCTCAGGGAAGGACAGGCATGAACCAAACGCCTCACCTCGCGGTCCAGTGAGTATCAAACCACTTGATCGTGCTTTCAGACTCGCCAAACACTTTTTCTCTTCACATTCTATGGCACTCAGTGCGAAGTAAATATGATACATGACAGTGGTTAACCATTTCTTTCTCGATATCTCTTTCCCGTTGCCATTCATCCAAGCAACCCACGAAAGTGTTCAAATCTTCGCTACGTCCAAGATGTTCAGTACCACACCACCCGAGACACTCATGCTCTTGCTTTCCACCCACATTCACCCAGCCCTACTCGCTGAACGCCCGGAGGCGCGAGCCTTCTCCACACTGCAGCTGAATGCGGACCGTCCACCGAGAATTCGAGAACAGAATAGTCGTTCTCCTCATCGAACCATGCAACAGTGTCCGTGTGTCATCCGCTAGCTGGCGTCAGGCAGAAAGGAGCTGGAACATACCTAGACGGCAAGATCTCGAGACTTTCTGTGGCTCGCGCAGCTTCGCAATACCACTTCTGGTCTACGTGGCCCTAGTGCAGTTCAACTGACGTCGCCATCCCTATAGCACGCTCCAAAGCCCTGCTTGACCCCGTCGGAGGACTCTTTGAGGAAGTTGAGCCACGCAAAGATTTCTGAGAACGACGTGATAATCTATTCAAATGGTTGGTGGACTCAAGTTCTACCGGACCAAGGTCGTGGTCGTGTGCCCCCCATGAAAATTGATCTTTGCTCGGAGCCTTCCTTTCCTGGGGCACTTACCTATCGAAGTTCAGCATCTGCAGTCAACGGCAGAGGTTTGGATTGCCTGGTGAAGCTTGCGAAGCTTACAATGAGCTCAAGGGACTTTGTCCCTCCTTCGACCGATAGAGCTGCGAAGAAACTCACGAAGGTTCGATCTTCGTGGTGTCCGGCTTGATCTAGCCGACGTGCTGCAGGGTTCCCATTTCGATGGACAAGTAATTTTTCCCGGGATCCCTGTCAATCGCTTTTTCTGGCAACTGCGCGAAGACGAAGACGACGCAAGGGATAAAACGAGTTGTCCGAAGCCCTTGGGTTAGCTTCCATCCCAGAAATAGTGACAAGAGTCGAAAATAGAAGAGTTCTGGTGTTGACTGTTCGTGTACCTAGTGTTTAATGTGATGGGTTGATGCGATGAATGTGGGAAGCGGGATGCCATGCAGCCTTCAGAGCTGTCCCGGTCCGTGTCAAATTTCCGGCCCAGGCCCAAGCGGGGGTGGTTGGTAAGGCACTGCCACAACAGCCACAGGGCCGAATGCCTTAGCGAATAAAGAGAAGGTTCGTGCCGGTTCATTTGATGTCGCTGGACTTTGCTTCAGGCGGAGGACCTGGTAGCTCAAGACAATTGCATAGATAGAGCTTATGGCGCGGAGGAAGGGTTGCCTTGCATCAAGGACGTACGGAATCTTGCTTACTGTCACAGACCGGGTTTTTGAGGCTGTGACGTTAGGTACCTAGGTAAGGTAGTGTTGGTTTCAGGGATATGTCCACGGGTGCTGTCACGGGAGGTGCTGTCAGTGGGGAGGTGGTTTTTCAGGCAGCACCTCCTCTTGGGAAGGCGTGGCAGCTGCCAAGGGCTGGCGAGCACAACGGCAAGCCTTGTAAGTTTTTTGGGTGAGTAAGCAACCTAGGGAACTGAAGTCAAAGGCCCCTTGAGGATTTCACGCTCTTCATTACAGTTGCCTGATGGAGAAGTCCTCGACACGGCGCAATGCCTCCTTTTCCCTGACATTGACAGACCACTTAGCCTGAAGAAATGTATTCTACAGTTTCAATCTTCTTTTGTCTCCTCGAACACACCATCGTGTCATTAGAGACCAACTCATTGGGCGGCGTCAATAGATACGCAGGACCAACTCGATCTCGTTGACACATCATGCCTCTAGATACAGCCGCTAGCCAACTACTATCTTCATAAAGTTGCTTCTTATAACTACTACTATTACTATTTACTAGAAGAATAAAGGGTATAATAACTTAATTAATTTAACTATTCTCTAAATCTAATATATCTATTAAGTTCTATTTATTTAGTTAACCTCTCCTATTTTATTACCCCCTCTATATTATTATTAGTAATAGTTCTTTTAATTTAGTTTAAGTATTATTAATAGTTCTACTTTATTAGTAAATATCTTTAATATATTAGTTATATATTAATATCCTCTTATAATAATATTATATCTTATTAATAGACTTTAGTATAGCTTAATATTAATTAACTTATTACTTACTAATCTAATAAGAGATTATAAACTCCCTATAATATATAGTTAAACTAAGCCTTTAGGTACTATATGATAATTTAAACTATATATTTAACTTACTATAGGTTTAGCCTAGCCTACTAACTAACTAGTAGCTATTTAGCTATATAACTTATAGACTCTATATATAAGCTTAAGCTCCTACTTTAGCTACTAGTTTATTACTTTACGCTTTAACTTCCCCTATTATAATAATAATAATAATAATAAATTTTTTATTAAGATATATTTAATACTTTAATACTCTTCCTCTAAGCTACTCCTCTTAGCTATCTACTAGATAATTAGCCTTAAGGCTATTAAGTTAATACCTTATTATATTATTATACTATTATACTACTATTAAATATTAAGCTTTTTAAGAAAATTTAAATATAACTTTTTACTTATTATTATTATTAATACTATTTAATAAAGCTATTATAGTTTTATTACTTATTATTAGCTATATTTATAATATATTATCTAAATAGGCCTAACTTATAGGTTCTTAACCTTAAGCTTTAGATCTCTAGCTATTTAGAGAAAGCCTATAAGGTATATATAAATAGATAAATTAGTATTAATTTATATAAATAGTTCTATTTTACCTTCTTTATTATCTAAATACTCTAGAAAAAGTAAAATAGGTTTAAAAAGTAATTTATAGTTAAAAATAAATTCTATAAGAGTTCTCTTTTTAAATAAGGTTATTAAGTCTTTATATTTAAGGCTTAGGTTTTAGATTTTATATTTAGTAATTAGGTTTATTATATTATTATACTTATTAAGAGATATATTAAATAATGTCTTAAAGGAAGAATTTAAATATAGTAATAAAGAAAAATTATAGAAAGATAAGAAATAAACTTTTAGCTTAAAATAGTAGCTAGCTTTATAGGCCTACTTAATAATATAATAGAGATATTATTCTAGCTAAAGGACCTTAAGGGTATTATAAAGAGGGATTTATAATAGAGATATTATTCTAGCTAAGGGACCTTAAGGGTATTAAGAGATTTATAACTAAAAAGTTTAATACCTTTATAGTAAATTTAAGCTATTATTATTACCTATTAGTAATAAGGCTTATTACTCCCCCCCTCTTTCCTATAGCTCTTATAAATAATATATATACTTAAATACTTTAGTTAGGCTAAATATATTAATACTAATTTAATTATAAATTATATTTATTTATTTTATTAGGAGATAATATATACTAAAGTATTATTATTATTATAAATATATTATAGAACTTTATATTAAGAAACTACTATAAAGCTTATTTAGAGCTAGATATTAGTTTATCTTTATAGTTAAACTATACTTTATATTATAATATTAAGCTCTTCTTAATAATATTTATCTCTATTAGAAATAATATTATTATTATAATCTCTAGAGAGGAATAATTATAATATAATATTTTAATCTATATAGAGTAATAATATACTTTTAAGCTCTATTATATTTATTTTAAACCTTAAGATAGTTAGTAAATTACTAAATAAGCTATTTATTTTAAGAATTTATAAAATAAAGTTTTTAAAAAAAGTACTATTTATAGCTTTTAAGTAGCTAAATAGGTTCTTTAGACTCTTTTTCTCTATATTATTACTATAGTATATTAATATTATTATTATTATTAATATTATATTAAAATTATTAATATTATAAAAAGAATAAATATTTAAGACTTTTATTATAATTTTAATTAGCTTTTATTTATTATTATTTATATAACTTATACTATAGAGTTTTTAATAACCTTAATAATTAAATACCTTACTAGCTAAAGCTATTATTATTAATATTACTATTTAATAATCTATTTAGTAGCTATAGAGATTCTACTTAATATTATATAATACTATATATTTATATAGGTTAAAGATACTATTAATACTTTATATTTTACTACTTTTTATATTAAGTAGATATAAGAGCTATATAAAGTATAAGCTATATAATAAACTAAATAGATTATGCCTCTAGATACAAATCGATACGGAACGACAATCACAACAGCAAATCCCAGTGGAAAGCCTCCTGCATCTGAACTGAGCTTTGTCAACCTCCACCATCCTTGGTTCCCGAAAGTGGTGGTGGCTAAGATGATAGAACCCGAAGGACTCTTCGCGGACAACAGCTCAGACATGCCGCGGCGGAGGCTGGCAGATCCCATGGGCTGGAGTAGACAGGCTCGGGTGCAGAGCAGTTCGAAAGAGACTTTATACGAAACGCGGTGCGTCCCGCCGAGACAAGCCGCCCAACAACTGGACGGAAGAAACGGGTTCTTCCAGTCTGTGTTATGCGCTGCGGGCTTGGCATTCTTGGGGACTCTGAAGTGGAAGGACAATCAAAGATGGCGGAAGAAGTAGGCAGCAGGACCAAATCGAAACTGTGACCACCGCGGAATGGTCTTTCGCCGTTCACCGTGTTTGGAACGTTACCAGAACCAGCTCGCTGAAGCAAGAGAAGCTGAAGACGCTATCAGAGAAGCCGAAGATGCCATCAGAACAGCTGCGAATGCCGCCAGAGAAGCTGCGAACGATGCTCTCCAGCGCCTTTTGGGGCAGGTTGAGGAAGAGCAGCGGAGACAATAAGACGAGGATGAAGAAAGGCGACAGCTCCGCGATATGGACGACTCGTTGGCCGCAATGGCGAGAGCGATGGAGCACGATATCCCTCTAGAGGAGAAAGATGAGGGCGGACGGCGCAATGACGATGGCCCTGAACGCTTCGGTGACAACGAGCAACGCAACGAGGACGGCCCTGGTGGTCAGATGGAGAATGACGAAGAGATGGAGGAAGCGCGTCGAGATAAAGAAGACATCGATCGACGGTATCGAGAGAGCAGACGACGACGCACTCGTTCCCTCATCGGCTCCGACATCTTCGGCACTCCACCTCCGGCACGCCACAACAATGACCGTCGAAGTCAAAGCCCCCGTCGTGAGCCGCCCGCGTGCGATGAAAGAGAAATCGAGTTCATCCTTTCCTCCGACTCCTCCTCAGAAGACCCTGACGACAAAGACATCCAAGCGTTTCCCGGTCGTCGCCACCGACGCCGGCAGTCCGTAGTCCGAAGAAGCCCGCCTGACTGGAATGACGATGCCGATGAGCTCGGTCTAGAGGGCGATGCTCTCCAGAATGTCATGGCCCCAGCCGCTCGCCGAGGTCGCGGTTCTGCCCGTCCCTTCCCGTCAGCCGATGCTGCTATCCGAGGGGCCGCACAGCGTGTCACCAGCGGCGCCCAGTCTTCCCTTAGTCGTGCCAGGGCATTCTTCACCGAGGCACAGCGCCAACAAGCTGCCGATTCCGCCGCCGCTACCACGCGAGAGACGCTAGAGGGCTTCCTTGCCCCCCCGTCACTCAGCGAGGAAGAGCTCGTGGTGGTGCTGGTCGTGGTGCTCACGGGCGTGGTCGTCCTCGCGGTTCGCGCGGGTCGGGAAGGCGTTCCTGAGTCTGCAAAGTGTTGTGTTATGTTTCGGTGTTTGTGTTGTCCGAGTCGTGTTACATGGACTATTGACTTTTTTTAATGTTGTTTAGACGTTGCTGGCTGCCTTGTTTGATTTATTTCGTTTGTTCAGTTGCTAGTACATGCTCAAACTGCCGCGACGGCGCTTTTTGTTGCTCGCATACATGGTTCTCTTTCCGATTCCCACTACAATGGTGATTGTCATGGCAATGATGGACAAAAGCCTAGGTCTCTGATATCGGTGATCAGGCTCGGAAGATGTAAGATGATGGGAGGGTCAATCATCAGTTCCTAGGGTGATTCTCACCAAATATGCATTTGCCAATTCAACGTCCCTCGAGATCTGCCCGGGCCCCGCATCAGAATTACGGCTAGATCAAGCATCTTCTTACTAAGCTCGAGCAAACTGGTGTGTTCGAGCTTGCACTTTGGCCCTTGAGTCCCCAGTCCTTCAATCACTTCAGTCCGAACTCTGCAATTTTTCTCAAGGTCCTCCAACTCAACGGACCTTATCCAATGCTGATCCTCTGCAGGTCGCTTCCAGTATCGCAACCTGATCTTTTCCGACCCCGTCTTATGAATCAAAGACCGGGTCACTAGAAACCTCTCAACGGGCCAAGACACAATTTTCAAACGTATCATCCCACAGCTCCGCCATCCCCCACAGATCGTCAGCCTCTGCGATGGTTTTCTTGATGATTTCGAGAGACTTCGCCGGGTCACTGCCGTCAACAAATGCAATAAGCCGCGCAATACAATACAGCCACCCTTCACTGCCGTTGATCGTGCCCCAATCACCCTACGCCTTTCTCGAGGAAAATGAAGTACCGCGACTGCTTGCTGCCTTGAAGGCTCCACATCGGCTAGCCTGGCACGCACGGTTTACATCTGGGTCCTATTGGTCGCTCTTCTTCATCGCAGCGCACCTGTCTTCAAGGTTGAGGACTACCACGTCCCTATTGTGCTAGATCACAATGTTCCGTCGCGATACTTGGGGAGAACTGCAATGAGAAACAGGTGGGGCTTCACCCGTAGAAGAATGGCTCGGACGGCCATGCGCTTTAGGTTCTCCCCAGATTCCTGACGCGTTTAGGGATATTCCATCAAAGGTACAAACACCAGCGGTCCACGCCATGGTTCTCAGCAAGCGACTTCTCACTTTAATGGGCGTTGGGGGCGGCGAAAGCGGCAGCTTATCAACGATCTTTGTATTGTATGTATTTTGCGTGTATCATATACTCGCGAAGTACTCGACAGTCCAGGAATGAAGGCTGTCAATACCAAAAGCATTCCGAAGCCACGACTCGATTTCCCCCCTCCGCTCCGTGATCAACGAAAGAACTGCATGCGGTTGGGACCGCCGTTGCGTGGAACCTCCTTGGCCTTGCTCTCCATGCGGGGATGGTTGATCTCGTGATTGGTGTCGTTGCTCTTGCTCGCTCCAGGGGTGGACTCGTAAGACTTGTTCGACTTTGGCGCGGAGGGCGCGGGTCTCGTGGGGTTCGGAAGACGGGGGCCCTGTCCGAAGGGTGCGGCTGCAGTCGAGGTCGATGCAGATGTCGTGACCCCTCTAGCCCTCATTGGACTGGATAGCGAAAAGTTAGAAAGATGATGATGTCGGGGGAGAAGATCTTACAAGGACAGCTTCGGGACGTTCGGGGCTGGAGACTCTAGGGCTCTCTTCAAGGCGGAGGTGTAGGGAGTATCCGTGGGCTTCTAGACCATTGCCTCTTTGAGCTCTCGCTTGGTGAGATGGTTGGTGACGTTGTCGGTGATCTTGGTGCTGGAATCGGCACCTGCCGAAGCAGTACCGTCGTCTGCGTCGCCGGGCATTCTGAGGAGTTGCGTTGTAGGCGATTAGATGATTGGCGTCGCGGACGGATGATATCGGGGGACTGTTGTGATGCTCGAGTCCGTCGTTTGGTATGAGGAGAGTGGACGTCAAAGGTTGCTCTAAAGAGAAAGATTATTGGTAGAAGAGAGGTTTTGCTGGTTGTTTGCGGACAGAGCTGGAGGAAATGGAAGGTGCCCTGCCCGGCTGCCCTGTTGTCGGGTGTGGCTGACAAAAGGCATCCCCATGTTACGTAAGCAGGTTCACCCTCAGAGGACCCAAGGGGATCTGGGACGGTATGTCTCCCCAGATGAATGCGGTGACAAGATACATTGTGATATGTACTTTTCTTCTTTAATTCCAGTGGTTATAGATGAGAAATACCAGTATTTGGAATATTCGGGTGCTTTGGCTTTGCGTTGGAATTTCACTTGTCGGCGTTTACGGCCTTTCCGGCGGAGGTGGTGTCAAAATATCGAAATCACCTCTCTCCTCCATTGTGGCTTCAGTGTGAAATCCCAGCATCCTCCATTCGCCCGAGGACTCGGAGGTCGTACCCTCAGTTCGACAGCCTTAACTACTACCGACGCTTGTGGGTGTAAACGTAGTCGCTCGTCCTGGACCCTGTTTTTATGAACTGCCCGTCAGGCAACGCACCGATGACACAGCCAAACCGTTCCTCTCTTCAACACCTTCATCTAACAAGAAAACGCGCGCGATTCGGCTGAACATCCCAAAACATGGCTCTAGAGACAAGTACGTGGAATATGGCGGACATCATCGTATTCTCGTACCCTTTGGATTACACAATGCGGATGGATAACAAGGTCGCATTGCCAACCGCAAGTTCGACGGTAACTTCGACTTCGAGACCTCAACCAAGACGTCAACATGGGTCACAACGTCCACAGTTACTGCCAACCATCATCACAACCAGGAACACGGAGACTATCAGACCTGTGGTTATGTGGCTAGGGGATTGGTCATAACAGCGGCGGTGTGAAGGTTTGCAGAATGCTCTTGATTTAGGGAGAAAACGGTGTCCAAGACCGAGACACAGCTCCAGGAACGGTGGGTTTGCTCTCCGAATGGTATTTCCAGTCATCCGGGCTTCATCGTCCTCGAAAACAGTAATATTGTGCGCGACAAGATACCGTCTCGAGCTGCCCCAAATACAAACACTTATCACACTCCTCTCAAACATTCGGCGGATTAACAGCGATACTTGGCTCTCCGGTCGAATTATATGAGGGCCCTTCTGCGGTGGCAGCAGGTTCAGCGGCTTCCGAGGCCACGATGAAGGCAGGCGATGTCGGGGACGTGGTGGGGTCTCCAGTCTTGATGCTTCTGGGGCATCTAGTTTCCATTGGCACGAATCGGCGATCTGAATTTGCCTCGAGGTCCACGTCTTGCGAAGAATTGTACCGATGGAACCTCAAAATAAATTGTCTGCGTCAAATGCTGGAACTGCGAGGTAGGCATGCAGCTTACCTAACATGACGTCATTATCATGCTGGCGGCCCCAATGGTTGGCGACCATCGGCCACGCATCGCCCCCCGATAGGGGCGGTACTTCTGAACACGCTGCGCCTCAGTAGCCAAAAGCACGGAGTCCCGTCGGGTCCCTTAGGCAGACACCTTCCGGTCCCGTGTCCCCCAAACTGCCAGAAGGTCAGCCACAGCCAGGGGCAATGGGAAGCTGAATGGAATGGACTGGACCTCGGGGCGGGAGTGGAAGGACGGGAACCTGACCCCGGGCGCCTGGAAAGCTTACCCCACCCAAGCCCGGTCAACACCGCACCTCAGTACCTACCTACCTACCTATCTACAGTGCACTGTGTAAGGTGAGCAATGGAATGGCCAGCTCCAACCTCACCTGAATCATCGCCAGCAGCACGGCAATCGACTGCGCAAAGCCCTTCCCCCAGTTTTGGACACTCTTCAACGAAAGAATTCAACACTACGACAAACCTCCCATCGACTTAACTTCGCCTTTGGTTCAACATGGAGCGACTTCCTTTCTCTCTTCTGGTTGATATTGCGATTCAGCTTGCCAGCATAACCGATAACGAAAATAACGACTTTGACGTCGCCGTCTCAGGCATCCGCACCCTGAACACTCCCTCATCTCCATTGCGATGCCTCTCAAAAGGCCGCCTCTCCAGCCTGAACGCCTTCTCGCGTTCCAATCGCGCGTGCTATCTGGCCTGCAACCCTGTTCTCCATGAGACAGCCGTAGCCTTGGATCTCGTCCGCTTCCTCGTCAGAAAGCCCTATGATGATGACGAACCCGTCGTCGACCGCGCCGACCATTCCGACGCCGCTGCTGCAAACCCTCAAGCGGGCAAGCACGTCAATCTCTCTCAACGAGGCACCTTCCCGCCTTTTGAGGCCACCGAGCTCTCTATAGGGCAGCCCAACTCGGTATCTTCATCTTAGACTCGTTCGCCTATGAGCGTATTGACGACTGCTACGCCCGTATGGCTTAAATGGGGTGCCGTTGTTGTTTCCGCAGCTGCTTTGGGTAATATTCCCCTCCTGGAACGGCTAATGTTGCATTTTCTAGGCCCTCGCGTCCGAAGCAGAGTGCTCCCCGCAAACACCAACGAGCTGCTCGTTTCGCCAGATTGCTCCAATGGGCACTTATTTTATCTCCGACACAGCTACTATCTCCCGCTACCTTGTGCATCGCACTTCCACTGGAGTCGCTCGCCTTGTGACGCCGACATCAAGGAAGAACTCCACGCGCCCTATCGGCACGAGATCAAGTACCAGTCCGATATTTCTCTGGCTGCTGCCACCGCATCCCCCTTACATGCCGCCGCTTGCGAAGGTCAGGATGCTACGGTCGCGTGGCTTCTTGACCGAGGCGCCAACATCGAGGACATCGCTTTGCACTGCTGCCAGTGCCCTTCTCCGCACATGCGCTTTCTACTCAAGCATTCCCTACCACGCGATCCGGCTTATGAGGGTGCGCTTCCAACCGAATCTACCGAATCCTACCTCCGCTTCTACGAGGCGCCCGCCGCGACTCCCTTGAGCCTCGCTCTGGCTTACGGCCGCCAGTCGACCGCTCAACTCCTCATACTCAGTGGTGCCGTCTGGGACCGTCCGGCTCCCATGTCGTACGGGATCAGCCCGCTCCACATCATGGCCGCCGCCGGCATGATCGATTTGTTGCACTGGATCGCTACGAGGGAGTCCGAGTCACACCCGGAATGTGCGACTCCGACATCAGCCGAGAGGCACCACGACTGGCCAGACGACCAGGGTCTCTGCGCTCTTCACTACTCCGCGGTTGCTGGATCTCGAGGTCTAGACATTGGCGATCATGCTTCGACAACAATCTTCACAGAGACCCAAGCTCAAGACCTCGTCGACACCCTCCTCCGCCTCGGGTCAGTCGCGTCTCACCCCTTCGAGTACATTGGCGAACTTGTTGTGGCCGAGATACGACGTGTGTACAAGAGCTTCGACCTGGGAGAACCCTTGGATTCCGTTGCTACGCGCGCTGTAATGTACGCAGATGGCAGTGGCAGCTGCATTAGGAAAGGTCATGGAACTGGCAACTGCTCAACTGGCTCGACGACCTTGACCCAGGACTTACGGAAGAGTGTCCGATAGCTTTTGCGAAGCGGGTGGGCGGCGACGCTGTTGCCGAAGCCCTCTCGAGACGTCTTGTCGCGTCAGGAACGGCGTTGAATGATGGGAACACCTCACATGAATTGGGGGGCACTTTTTCGAGTGGTTGAGCTTTGTGAAGTAACATTATTTCTCTTGGTTCATTGTTCTATTGCAGCTTTTGCTCGCTGTTGCATGTAGTTCAAGATCCAGAAGAATAGGAGAACAGGAGAACAATAGAGTAATCGCTCAGCTTTTTCAAATGAAAAGAGGCTCAAGCAGCACATGGAGACACCTTCTCTGTCTTTTTCTTCCTCTTCCTTCCAGTGCCTGCGACGGCGGAGAGCCGGAGTGACGGCCATCTCTTCGGCCATCTCCTTGGCTATCTCCTCGACCATTTCCCGGCCGGTCGCCCGCCGCATGTGCCGACGTGTTCGGGGCAAAATTTTCAATTATGGCCGACTTCGCCGGCGCGAGGCATCTTCTTCAGCAGCTTGGCGGTTCGATGGAAATTGGGGCTGGGAGAGCCGCTGGGACATAGGCAGCCCGCCGTACTGAGTGAGTGCGACCGCGATGGCGAAGCCGGCAGTGTGAAGACCGAGAAGGCCAAGCGATGGAGATGAAGACTGAGGCGGCGGGGTGCAAGAGGGCTGCAGACCCTCGTCGTTGTTGCCGCTCCCGGACCCGCCGTCGTAGTCGTGGGACCTTCTCTTTCAGCGTCATGATCTCCCACTCTCCGGCGAGAGACCTTTTCCTCCTGTTGACTTTGCTACTGCCATAACAGAACCTGTACCTCCATGGCCTTATCTATAGCTGTAGCTGCTGCCGCCGGATACGCTCCGTATCAAGAGCGCGCGAAGTCTCCATCTTTCTCCTGTTGAAACCGAGCGGCCGTCGTCGACAAGTCTTTCCTTTCTTGAAGATCTTCAACCGGGACAGCGTGCTGCGTTCATGAGGCGCGCTTTAATTTGCTGCTTCATGAACTCCCGGACTGCCTCAGCGGCCACTTGATTGATTGAAATATCTTGGGCTGTCGCGTGGGGAGATTTGAGGTCGACGACGATTCGGGTCAGACAATGTTGGCTCGGTGATCCTCAGTATGCTGATGATCAGCCATCGTCGGGCATCCACGGGGCGCAATCTTCGGGCCAAGGCGAGGAACCATTGGCGTTCTCGGCCCGGGAGCCTCGAAACTCCGAGAGGCTGCTTTCGGCAGTCGCCCCTGCGGATCTGACCGTGCCGGCCTGGACTTCACGTGTCTTGGAAGAGATTGGCGGTTGCGCGAGAGACGAGTCAGTGGTGCGGTAAACTTCAGGCCACGCCAACCGCAGGAACCCATTATGAGAGCAGTATACTGGCAAGGTAGATCGCCTTCCTCCCGTAGGCCTCACTCAACTTCCGTAATGGCATCGTGACAATTGCTCTCGTGCATCAGCCCGCCGACCAGCCGACGAAACGTGGAGACGCTAGCTCCGCCAATACGCTGCTGCATGATCAGCTCAAGATCCGCTCACCCCTGGAGTATGGCGACGTCACCACGGTGGAGTGCAAGGAAAGTAACATTATGGACTTGTTTGTTCTTGTGGGCGCATTCGTCGAGCTCGTCCGTTCCGTGGCTGCGTGCCGAGCTTGAGCCCGACCTTGAGCCCGACCTTGAGACCCTAAAAATGCCAGAACGGACCGTTCCTCGCTTGGCGACGAGACGGCCCCTGGCGGCGCTGGGCCTGGGGCACGCATGATGGAACGCGTCGGTAGCACGAGCAGTCGTTCATCACATCCAGCATATGCGGCAGGCCCTGCACAGTGGATGCTCCGAAGAAACGTTTGATCATCGGTCGTCGACGTATGACAATGGGTGGAGATTGCCTCTTCGTAAAACCGGCCGCGACTCGGCGCCATGTGTCAATGGGTATCTTGCAGACGATTTGGTTTGCTGTTGAAGATCGTATCGCTGGCAGTCGTTCCTGGCTGCTTCAAATTAGCAGATGGCGTGGCGGAAGGATAAAGGAATCTCAACTGAACTGCTGCAAAGGAAGCTTTTGCACATGGCAAAGGGTTTTTGAGAGACGTGGACGAGCCAGGGATGACCACGTAAGTATAGTCATAGAAGACGGGCGTAGGCAGAATATCGCGAAGACAGAAGTGTGAACTGTCCATGACCCACGACTTCGAGATGCGCCGGCTCACGAAAGCATGGTGGATCGGAAGTGAAGCGGTCGAGAGATGAGAAACGGCTGAGGGGTCAAGAACCAAAAGGCCGCCTGATTTGCACTTCCAAGCCCATGCCGACAGAATCCAATGTCCCGTCCACGTCTCATCAGCGGTGGCACTGGACTACCTAGGTATTTACCCGGGGAGGCACGGAGGCTGCTCTGTGCTGTTCAGTGGACCTCCCCGGGGTGGAGCGCGCCCGGTTGGCGGAATTGAGGGCTCCACTTTCATCGCTTTTTTGCGTGGAAAAAGGACAATTAAGTGGATCACAGCCCGATTTGATTGGCCGTACCTTGGGGTGTGCAAGGTGGGGCCGGCGGAGTCAACTCCGGGTGAGATACGGGGAAGTGCACCAACGCTCTTCCCGGAACCAACGCGGCAGACTTCCAATTTTCCAGCTTCAGGGTCTCCATCGCAGCAGTCCCCAAGTCTTTTCAAACACGGGCATTTGCCCTTTCTTAGGACGCCGTGCATTAATCTGTCGTTTTTCGCATATCACGCAGGCTTGAGATGTTGCACCGCCCGAGCGCCTCAACTTTTTCACCCTGTCCTCGACAATGGCTTTCCACAGTTGATGGCTTCGCTTCAGTCACACCGAGCGGAATACGCTTATGCGATGATATCGCACGCCTACATACACCACCGACCTGTAGTGCAGCAGACGCATCATCCACGGGCGGGAAGTTTCGTGCAGCCGAAAATTGACAATCTTCACGTTTTGCTGCTCGTCTGCCCTCTCCATCATGAGACGCCTCTCCGTCATGTCGTCTGCACTTACGGCGGAACTTTAACGGCAACGACGGCAACACCAACGCAAAAGTATCTTGATACATGAACATTGCCGACACACCTCAAATTCGCGGCCGCGTGTTCACCAGACGACGAGATCCACGACTTGAGAAGAAGGGCAAGGCGACCCCATACTCCGGCCTCATCGCCCTGAGGCCGTCATCCTTCGCGTCATCGGTTTCATCTTGAAACTACGGCGAACAACCCTCTAGGCCCTCTCTGCCAGTATCTGAGGCGAGCTCTTGGTTTTCTGTCGTCGCAATTCTTTCCGATGTTCTCAACAGTACCACGCCCCGCGCGGCCATCAATCATGTGCTTCAGCTTTGTGCTACGAGGTATGCCCCTTCGTGACGAGGTATGCCCCTTCGTGAGAGAGACCTAACGTCTGCGATTCCCCTTTACTCCTTCTCCGCATCTTCCGAAGAGCTCCAGCGACTAATGTGAAGTTCTTCTTAGATTCGACGCATTTCATCTGCTCCCACGACGGCCTCCGAGACAGACAAGCCAAGTGATCCCGGGCGAACACCGCGTGACAGACAACCAGCCCGCCCGAATATGGTGGTTGCAAATCCTGAGAAGGGAATGGAGTACCATGTCAACATGTCCAAACCTGCCGAAGATCCGAGTGCTGAGACCAGAGCAAGACTTTGCCATCGCCAGTATGAGTGCTGCTGCAATAGCAGCAAAACCCCTTGGCCGGAACCCAACAAAACCGCGAGTTCCCTGCGCGCGTTAACAGCCTTCAACATCCATTACATAAGAGTCCTTTGGATGTGTTCCGAAGCGCGTTCAATCACTGACAAACTCTACAAACATCGGACAGCATCAGACAGCATCGGACACGGCGATCCGTGCGAGGAGGCGAGGCTGACGCGCAGTCAATGGAAGTAATGCAGGCAAGCCAGGCTCTCTGTCTTCACGGGAAGATGCACCCCGCCGCCCTTGTCCCGATGATCTATCGGGGCCGTTGGAACGGCCGCTCTTTCTCGGAATGGCTGATATGCATAGACACGTCGAGAAGGAGCAAAGCTTAGTTAAGGTACTTTCTGCTAGGGGGGGTCTTGCATTCCCTTCAAGTAACCGGGAAGAGACGGGACGGGGCTGCCTGCCCAGCCATCTTCTTTCCGTTTCCCGTCGACCTCTCGCCCACACAACAACTGACCATGAACATCTACCTTACCTCGATTTCTGCGTCGAACCATCACAAAATATCAAGTCGACGGTCTATTTTCCACAAAAGCCATGCCTGCGTACTACAAGAACACGCGGAGGGTCCATCGAACCCGCAGCAAGCGCCGAGAACCTCCTGCCAGACACGTCGTCAGGCACAGCAAGAAGGCAAGTCATTCGCTCATCCGCGATAGCCCGGCATGCCCTTCATTGCTCGCATTTGCTTCTCCAACAAAGGTACTGACTCCTTGCAGGTTGGCAGGATTCGTTTTCCCTGGGCCACCAATTACCCTTCTAGCAAGCGTCGACTTGCGACGCAGAAGCCCATTCACCCTCTCCGCGAGGTCGGTCAACTCCACCAAGAGCTCCGCCAGTTTCACCATGAACATCTTCGACTGAAGAGCGAGCTTCGCTTCCTCATGAAGCCTATTCTGGACGAGTGCGTCAACGAGTCAATATCCAACAAATCCGAACTCGACCGCCTGGAACCCGGTCTACGACGGAGGATAGTCAATGACATCAAGAGCCGCCTCGAAGAGGAGATGATGACGACGCTTCTCATTGAAGATCTCACCTTGCTGATGGCTTAAGAAAGGGATACAGTTCATCAGGCTCGTTCATAGCCACGTAGATTTGAGCTGAATCGTTTCTCGTGGTAATCGGCTTTCATATTCGAGAAGCAGATTCGGACGCGAGAAGGCAGGCATACACTGAGCGCGCGGCCAAGGATGGCTCGGAGAAGACCGGCCGAACTGAGGTTACACTACTTGATGTAGACATTATTCAATTGTTCGAAACCCAAGTCGTATCTTGTGCCGCAGTGCCGTCTCAATGGGACTCCCTCCTTCTATTCAAGCCCGGTGTTCAATGAGTCTGTTCGAAGGGAGTAAGTGGAGGGCAGACTCAAAACTCAACGAATGTGGCAGAATGGAACAGTTGGTGCGACTGGGTGAATGCAGACAAAGCGTGGATGAATACATACAATGATGCATCTGGTCAGGAGATGAATTGTCCTGAGGTTGTACGAATGGCATTCTTTGTCGTCTCGTCGCACCTGTGACCTGTCGAGAACATCCAGATCACTCGACATCTTTCACAAAACGCTTTTTAAACGCAATGGTTTTCAAGGGCTTCTTGTATTCTTCGCCCTTGTGAATATTTCGACGGACTTGAATTGCTTTAGCCCACGAGTCTTGTTCCAAAATGCCTGATCCAACACTAGCCCGTGTATTCATTGTCTACATGGAGCCATGGACATCTTTCTTGGCCAGAATTGCATTTGGTATCTTCCACTTATGCCGGTCAAGAAACGCTTAATTGCCGCTACGACGTCGAGGGATGCGGAGGAGGGCGTCGCAGAAAGTCAATAAAGATGGCAACGGCGATTGTAAGAGCTGCCGCCGACTGGATGTTGACAAATCTCGGGCAGGAGAATAATGGAGAGTAGGAAGCAGATGGGGCATCGTGACATCCCGTCTGATGGCTGCCAAACGCGGCACCAGTTTCAGCCGAGGCCTCAGCGGAAGATTTTAGCCAGCATATCAGGTTCACTGAGCATTTCGCCATGCTTCATGCACCTTTATACATATGCACCAGGTACGGCAAGACAGCGCTGATGCTGATGCTTCGACACCGACATCGATCGACCTCATGCCACGGGTCGCTCAGTTCATGGTCCTCTCCCTCTTCTTCACCGACACCGTCACACCTTCAATTCCGTAGCCCCATGTCTTCTGAAAAGAACCCGCAATGGCGCATCATGTAGATCTCTGTGGGCTTGGAAGTGTCGAGGTCGGGGAACCACTTGGACTGGACGTGGAGGACTCGGGTATCTGCGATGGTGGACGTGATGACGGCTTGACTAAAAAGCAGAGACCAGGTCAGAGGAAGGTTTTTTGCAATGCGGAAGACGCAAACTTACAGAGACTGACTTTAATCGTTGAGTTATCAACAAAGTCTGTGAGAGAGGGCTGCGGACAAATATCACAGCTCCTAAGATGCCAAGTAAATATGGGCATCCAAAGACTTCTGGGGGTGGACAACGGAGGTACAACCACGATCTGCATGCGAAGGGTGTTTCGATGCATTTGACATTTGTCGCGTTCGGGAGACCAGGAGCAAGCGGGATTTTCTAACGACAACAAGCTTAAAAGTAGGTAAGGCTGCTGCTTTTGAACGAGTGGTTGATGTGGTGAGGAAGAAGCTTCGAACTCTCATAGCGATGTTTGCTGACAAGACATGACATGGACATATCCAGGAACGCAAGCTGATCAGAACAGTGTTGGTGATGTTCCTGCAAAATGGAAGGCACGTACTAAGTTTTATTTTCCCCCTCCCAAATACCTGGGTACCCGCCTTGATGGGACTTGAGTCTGGCAGGTGTCGATCTACCGGCGCACCTACCATCCCGGGTTTGTCCTCACCTGCTACTCTTCTACTACTATCCGCGCCGAGAAGCACCATCAGCAAAACACAACGCCACACAATTACTTTTCAACTGCTTCTTTCCATCGCCATCTGCAAAGTCGATATCAGAGCTGGCAAACAAAGTTATTGTTCTGTTTACTCACCTTCTCTGCCTTGCCTCCTCACACAACCAGCCAGAAGCAAAACCACGCGCCAAAGACGCCTTACAACATCACAGCATCACCAAACACAGAGTCACAACCACCAAGCCATAACCATGGCATCCATGTCGCAGCTTCCCCCGGAGGTTCTTACGATTATCGCCCGAGCTGTGGTTGAATTCGTTGATGAGCCGCGACCGCCTGCCCTCCACCAAAGCCTGGCCAACCTCACCAGCCTGGCTGCAGTCTCCAAGATATGGAATGCTGTTGTTTCCCCGATTCTCTACAGACAGGCCATCATCCAGGATATTGGCTATATTGGAAGGACCGGAGCCTCATGGAGGTATGTCGCTTTTTGCTCCGGTCTGCCCTTGCTCCAGCTAGCGCTAATGAACATTGCCCACAGGGCCCTCTGCAATGTCCCACCCGAGATGAAGACGAAGTTGAAGGCAACGATGACAATGAACGATCATGAAACGTAAGCCTTCCCCCTCTTGCCGGCTGCCTTGAATGCGCTAACCTGTAAATTCCACATCACAGTGAAGGCGAGGAGCACCATGATCATCAACCCAAAGACGATGACGAGAACCGGCCATGGCGAGAATGCCACCTGATGACTGCGGCATCCGCTGGAAATGTGGCCTTACTGCAGCGGCTCTCCTCCTTTATTCCCAAAGCTTTTCCAAACATGAGCGCGACCTCTCTTCTTTCGGCTGGCTTCCGGGTGCCTTGGAAATGCCTGAATCTATATAACTACGAAGATCATGATTGGAGCAATGAAGACGAAGGGCTGCCTGAAGCTACGCTGCTTCATGCGGCGGCCGCCAGAGGGCACATCGGCGCGGTTGAGTGGCTGTTGAACAGAGGCGTTGAGGTCAATGCCGACGCGCATTTGGGTTGTATTTGCCCCGCGTTCATCCCTATCACGCAATGCGATGCTACACCTCTGTTCCTCGCCATCGCATGGCGCCACATTGAGGTAGCCAAGGTCCTGATTCAAAACGGGGCGATTTGGGATCGATGCTTCACGCGCACGGAGGATGTCACCGCCCTACATTTGATAGCGGCACACGGTATGGAGGAGCTGGTGTATTGGCTTGTTGCCGCGCTCGACGAAAGTATGCGTCACACAGAGCTGGGAAAGACAGTCGCCTCCAACGGTCCACACCACGACTGGCCTGATGAGATGGGACTCTGGACCCTTCATCATGCTATTGGCCGTGCTTTTTCATTCAAAATGTGCAACAGCAATGCGGAGGAAATGCGCAGGGCGGAAGATCATGTCCGACGTCTCATCACCGGTCTGTGTCGCCTGGGGGCTGTACGGAGGACCATGGACCCGGCAAGATGGCGACGCAGAGTGTCTCTGGAGTTGGAGCGCATGAAATTGAAAGCAACCAGCAACCCTTCCGGCGACATACATATCGATGCGGCGGACAAGGAGTGGTTGGAACAGATTGAGTGGTGGCATGGGCAGGATCGTGGATTGACAGACCGAGACATCACGGCGGAGCCTGAAGCATCCATGCTGTCCTATTACGACGCGAGCGAGACCGATAGAATGTACAAGGTCGTCTTGGAGGTGCTCAACTGGGAGGATGACTGATGGTGGTGGGCTGAGAAGGACATCGACCGCTCTCGGTTCAACGTCGCAAATTTGTTGTAGTGGCTTTTACGTTGTATGTACAGAACAGTTTCCAGCAAAGTGGATGACTAGACCTGGAATCTTTTCCATGAGAGCACCTATCGCCTTTGTGTGCACAAGGGCAATGTTAATTTCATGCTCATGTCAAGCGGCAATCATGTATTCGCGCGAGACAAGCATGTGACAGAAGGAGCAAATGTTGACGATTGTCGACCCGTAGGAAAGATGAAGATGAACGAGATTCTGAAGATCGCTGGTATCATGCTTGGCCATACCGTCCTGTCTTTCTGTAGGCATCTTCGACAAATGCAGGTGCGGTGAGGGCGTCTTTCACTTCGTTGGTGTCGTTGGGCAGAGCGTGATGTGCGCAATATTAATCCTGCTCATCTTACGCATCGGCGCGAGCCTCTTGTCAAGGAGAATGGGGTTGGAGGATCTGGGGAATCTGGGGAAGGGAAGGATGTCGCCATTGCCATCATCTTGTGTTCATGCCGCTTGGTAGAAGAATGGAAAACGAGGGCTGTCTGGGAGCTGCAGCAGGACAGCAGAGACCGACGTTAGAACTCCGGCCAACACCTCTGGCTTGGAGGAAGCGCCGGCCTCGCTGATGAAGTAATCCGCGGACGGCTAGATCTATCATGGCTCATGCTCCGATCCTCCACATCGTCAGGAGTGTAGAGCCGCGCCGTTCACATCGTTGTCTTCGAACATCTTGGCCAGTGTCCCGTTCTCGGTCTTCTTCCCAAGTGCGTACTTCCTCCGTCTTGCTTCGCCAGCTGTCCACCGCCCGGCCAGAGATGATTCTGCGGTTCCTCGCAAGGTTGACTCAATTCGGACCGCCACCAACACTGCCTTGGACCGCACCCTCTCGACCTTGACCAGCTCCATCGCTCAAGGACGCCTGGCCTGGGTCGTGGAGATGGGCGGCAGAGGTTTGCCATGTGCGAGTAGTCAGACCAGAGAGAAAAAAGCCCCTGGGTGGCTTGATTTGCTAGCGGATTGGACACTCGAGAGTGGTTCACTGAGGGAGGCTTGGTTGTTCGAGAAAGCACAGGAGATGTTAGTTGAGAGAAGACAAGATTCAACCTCAAGTGCAGAAAGCCCAGTCGGCGTCAAATCAAGCAGGGAAGCGGGAGGTGGTCAACCACGTGGTTGACAGGTGTTGAAGACGGGAGATACAAGAAGAGCTGAACTTACTACAGGGAGAATATCCTCTCGCGTGGTTGAACTTGGCGGGCTTGAAGCGTTCGTCCTGCAGATTCTCCACCCCTTGCCCTTTTCTGGCTTCCATTCACATTCTCTTGTGGCAATAGGCCTGTTGCCAATCCATTGTATCCAGCCTTCAGAGGCATCCTGCCGATGACCCTCCCTCCTCCACCTTCACGACTTTTGGCATCATCTGTAAAGGCCGTCACTGAACGACGGAAGCCGTGAAACAATCGACGCTGGTGACCTTGGCATCTCGCTCCACGTCTGCGTACCACGGAACTCGCAGCGATAGCCTCTCCGATCAGACTGGAGCCCGGGCAACGGAGGTGAAGCTGGGCTTGAGGCGTACTTCGACCCGATTCTCCATATTCCACAGCCACGAAGTGTCTCCGTGGTTCGACCTCGAGGATCGCTGTTGTTGTTGAAGCGGATGCGAGTACGGCTGATCAGATCCGCCGTGATATCCAACGGGAGCGAGAACAACTGGCCGCAGATGCAGCACACGCAGTCAGCCAACGTCCCAGGCTCCAACGGACGCGACATGTATTGAGTTCCTCCGGCATCGGCCTTCCCCGCCTCTTCGTGTCGCTGTTCTCGTCGTATTGCCTTCGGCACGGTCGTTGCGGAACAGCAGCCGCATGGGCCGCAGATGTTTCTATCAGGAGGGGGCCCTGTTTGCGGAGAGTAGGTCGGCTGTCTAGGAGCATGGAGTCGGAGTTTCGGCGTCCAGGCAGCGCGTACGCCGTGTGCGTTTGCAAGAGGACTCTAAATAGGCTTGAGCCTCGATGTCCTGTTCAGCAGGCAAGGTCAGTAAAATAGGAAGCGGGCATTCATGGATAGTCGAAGAACGTGAAGCGATGATGATGGCTTACCCGAATTGAGGCTCTCTGCCTAGGCGTATACACGGTGGTCGCTGACCGCCTGGAAACGGCGACGTTTCGCACATTCGGCCATGAGGTAATGCGCCGCCTGCAATCTAGATCTCGACCACTTATGCTGGCGCTTCTGCCTGGGCCTTCAGGGTTCCGTCGCGGTCTCTGCTAGCTGTTGGCTTCATCTCCTCATGCCGTCGCGTGTCGAAATGCACCGGGCTTGGGTTGATGCTGGCCGGCTTTGCTCAGCGCCTGCATGATCGATTGACAGCGAATTGGCGTAGATTGAGGATCTTGCTGGGGTCTGACGGCTCGGCTGCGAGGCGGCCACACGAGGCGTGTAATGGAAAGACTTCCTCACGTCTGAAGTCAAACGAGGAGATGGAGACCGCAGCCATGGAGCATTGTGGTGGCTGACGTAGCCTTGGTTTGAGGCGAGTTCGGCATGGGGCGTTGCCATTGACCCTGATGTGACTGATGCTAGCTGTCCCTGAGTTGCAGCGGAGTGCGAAGGCATTGCTCATAGAGATGATGGCGCGAATGGCGTATGATGGCGGCGTCTCTGTCACTTCCTGCCACGACACATTCGACCCCTCGTCGAGCGGGCTGACGCTGTTGGAGGATTTGCGGATGTTGTTGTAGCTCCCATCCAACTCACCAAACAGGCCTCAGACATCTACATCGGCATGCCCTGCATTCTTGCGTCGCCGTCTAATACCTTCGTCAAGCCGGGTGGCGTTGTTGGTGACGATATACATGCGCTGATCGTAATCGGTACCTGTCCAGAGACAAAGATTCAGTTTGAGAACAAAGCGCAGAGCAGAGAGAGGTAAAACGCACCGACGAGGGTCCTTTCGAACGTGTTTCTCCCCTTCTGTGTTCATTGAAAGAAACTTGGCTATTCCTGTTCGCCAGCAAGCATCCCTGGCGCAACGAAACACGAACTCGCGACCTCCATTCGTCTCTCCGTATTGGCGGAGCGCGGCTAGGTTGCTCTTGCGGAGAACGTTTCCAACTCCTCTGTTTTTTTTGTTGCTGCTTTCCCCCCAACGTCATGACCTTGATTGCCCTTCTTCATGCCTTTCCGCGCCTGATGATCTTCATAGTCAAGAGACCGAGAAGATGCGCCAGACGAGGCGATGGTCAGGACCGAGGCTTGCCCAGGGGTTTCTCGACATACGCCAAGCAGGCGTTGTGGTGTTCGGGCTGGAGATTCCGCCCATTCCCCCACGTCACCTCTTAAGGGAATTCTGAATCATGCGCATCTGATGGAGAGAGTCGTCGCTGAGGTCCATTCGGCGCGCCGCGAGGGATGTACGCGCGAGCGAGCGGCGGGAGCGTGCTCGGTAGGAATAGAGTCTAGAATCGGGTCGCCCAAACATTCGGGAACCTGCTTATGGGAGGTCGGGGTTTTCCGCGGCCGCAGATGCTTCTTGTATCGTCTTGGTGAAGGCCCGTCGAAGTGGCTCTTGGATAGGGGGAGGAGGGTGTCGGGACGCAGTCGCCGCCAGCGAAATCGAGCTGGACAAGAAGTGTCAGTGCCATTACTCCCAAGCCGTTGAGAATGGGGAAATGAAGGGGTATTCCTACCGACTGGATTGTCGTGGGCCTCCACGATGGCAGGCAATCGGCCAGACCGCGGGAGCGCGGGGTCGCGGGGTCTCAGTAGGTCCAATGACTCGTCCCTCTCCGATTCGCTCCTACAGGCTCAGCGACGGACGGCAGTAGCGTGTCTGCGCCATCACGTCTGGGAGCAACTCGTGGCTTGCGTTAATCGACTGCTCGGCTGGGGGTGGTGGTCGCGGGAGGGCGCAGACTCGCGTGGCGCTTTAAAGATATGACTGTGATTGTCAAGCTGTGACGCCAGTTCGGTCGGGTGGTGGGGATAGTGACGCAAGACCAGCTACCTCAAGGTTAAAAAAAGGTTGGGGAAGATGAGACCAAGAGTGTGGCTGGTGCTGCGCACCACCTGACGGGATTGAGCTGAGGCTGTGGCTCAAGAAGGCATGGTGATAAGCGATAGGCGATAGGAGATACCTAAGTAGGTACTTATCTGAGTGATTGCTTATCGCGATAAGATGACTTACCCAGGGACCAAAAAAATTTCAGAGTTGCAGACTGGTCATTACCACGTGACGCCGCGGCAGGAACGGAGGAGCGCTTTGCTGATTCAATCATGGACCACCCATGCAGTCTGATCTGCTGCCCCCTGCGACAACGATTTTGTGTTCCTAGAAGGGCGTCTTCAATCATTTGGGACCGCGTCAAGCAACTCAGCCACCCCAGATTCCTCCTCGCAACTACTCTTCTCCAAATACGCTGCCATGGCCCCAATGTCGAGATCAACTGCGACAGCAGAGGCGTCGACTGACACGGTTCGTGTTTCCATTGACAGCTTCTTAATACTGGTACTAACGTAGCATTCAGTATGATAGCTTTCGCCCCTGATGGCCGCCGCCCCTGTCTTCATCGTCCTCGATCTCCCCACGATTCCCATCAACTGCCACTCCCTCGACCCGCCTGCGATCTGGCACCCGACACCACGTCTAGTAGTATCGCCAGGGCTCATCAAGCACTTCGGTTGTGGCTCGGACGATGATGCTGTGCTCGATTGAGGGTAGTTTGGCTGCATTGCTCCTACCTGAAAGACCCGGCCTCCGCCGTCATCGTTCTCATCGCCACCATCGACACTCGAACCCATTCTTCTCAGGCAAGCCATCGAACGCCCGAATACACTTGATACCCGGCATGAAGATCTACAAGGCTTATACCGGCACCTTCAATGGTACCGCTGTCATCCACACCGAAATCTTTCTTGGTACTGGTGCTGCACCTGGGCATCGGAAGATCCGTCGCTGCGTACCTTCTCTCCGTTTTCTTTCTAGACAACGGTGGTACGCATCTTCGAGTGGAATCTATGCTGGGGGCGGTGCATGTGCACCTCATCATGCTAACATATGACACGGCAATGCGCGATTCACTCGATCATGCAGCTCGACAGACTGGATTCTTCACGTGCCAGTCGGAGAGCGCGGTTCCATCTCCAAGAGGCATGAACATTGCGCTACTCATGACTGTCTCTTCCAGTTTCGCCGTACATAGGGCGGCAGGAGCCGGTTCCTCATTCGTTCTTGACGCCCGCTCGCTCTAGGTGGCGGTCGGCGAGTACCCGCGTGAATCGGAAACAGTCGGCAAGGCTAAGATCGTTGGGACCGACCTTTGCTCGGAGAAGATTCTCGGATCTGGACTTATGAAATCTCGCCCATAACATCTCCACAGGATCATGTCCACACTCTTAGATGACAGGAGACGAGCGCTCCCGTCGCGGGTAAAGAGCCACAGGACTTACCGGCATTTTCTGGGAGGGCCGAATGACGGCCACGCTGGGCTGCAGGTTCACAGTGTTTTTGAGGATGGTGCTATCGCATTGTACGAGTTGCCGTCTCTTCTTCGCTGGTCATGCCTTCGCACCGTCACGATTGATCTGTCCTGGGGCGCGATGGTGTCAGGTTGGTCAATATCAGCACTCAATCACGATTGCGGCGAAGGAAAGACTTCACGGATGCCTCGGTTTGCTCGGCGCAAACAGCTACACCTTCACGGACCGGGCGCCGTCAGTCCCGCGTGCTCCGTGTCACATGCGTGGCATGGCCTCGGTGTCCTCGGTGTGTTCAGTGGCATGTTTGACGGAAACATCCCAACAGACAACCAACCTGGAACCAATGAACTTAGGTTCGTCACCGTCCGCCGGGACGGCACCTCAGTCTTCTTTCAGCCACCGCAGCATCTCTCCTAAGCGGCAGAAAAGCAAGCTCACGATAGGCGCCATACCTCGACGTATCACAGCTTCACAATTCGCCAGTCGTACCTTCATCATGGTCGCAATTCTGACTCCGTCTTCCTCGTACAATCTCGACGCCAGCGTGCGATGCAACCCGCTGCTCTTCCACCATGACCAGCCCTCCCAGACGCAGAAGCACACTCGTTCGCAATCTGCCCTACCCTGTCTTGTACAGCTTGTCGCGCCAAATTTGTCCGCCAACTCAAGGCCGTACGGCGATTACGAACAGGCCTTGTCGACACCCAGTCACGGTCACCAACTCGGCCACTCTTTGCAGAAACCCCTACCTGGTCAGTCCAATACTTCCCTGATCCAAACCTCCCTCGCCTTCATCGGGCCATGGCTAACCTTCTCTGTTCCCCGCCGTAGGCCTCCGCGCATCAGCGAATGCTCCCCGAGACTTCATCACATTTCACACACCCAAATCCACGTCATCCCATGGGATGGCTTTCCACTCCGCGCTTCGACGGACCCAAGAGATACCGCACACGTCCCTCGCCCATCCTCCGATGGGACCCACGGTACCGCCGAGTCGAAGCGGTGGTCTTTGCTATTGATCTCTCCACAAAGCTGCCGGCAGCGAAATGCAACATCGCAACCACCGACTAGCACCGCGACGTCGACCGAACTTCTGGAGACGGCGATCACCATCCCGAAAGCTCGGCCGGGGAGCTCTTTATTCAAGGACCGGTACGCTCTCATGGGGACTTGAGCTGTTCCGGGTCTTGCAATGCTTCGCCGTCTCCAGCGGCGCTTGGCGAAGGGTTGGCATACGCCAAGAACTAATCGTAACCGGAGCACAAAACAAAGGCGCCGTCAGGACACCAGCACTGGCGTGGTTACATGGCGAGCTCCCTGTCTGGATTATGTCTACTGGAAGGACGGGACGCCGGAGTCCGTGAGTGGATGAAAGCGCCTCCTCGTGGGTTCTTGGAATTTGCAGCGGATGTCAGCTCGACCGCGTTGGGTTGTCTCCGTGGGCGATGGAGACATTTCCCCCAGTCACCCGGCTTTCCCTGAATCCAGCACCACAACCACGGCGACAGTGGCGATGGCTAATATCAGTAGCTTCAGGAGCATACACAACCTGTCGACAGGTAGGAAGACAAAGACCGGGCAAGCTACTGCCATCCTTCCAGAGCCGTCGTTCTCATCTTGCACATTTGCCAGCCCTTCCGCAGTTCTCAACTCTGCTATCGGCCTCCACGCCCCGGACAACGAAATAACGCCGCCCTCTCATCCGACCACGTGTAGACGACGGAGGAACTCGAAGTTTTTCAAGACGCGCCGGACCGTTACTCGCCTGCCCTTTTCAACGATAGCCAATGGCTATTGACACTCTTGCGCGATCATCTTCGCCGAAGGCTTCCGCGGTGTATCCAAAACGCAGTTCCCCTGCGACCTCAACGAAGCTCCGAATTTCAATTCGAGGCTTGACTTTGCAGCCAGTAATACGGCGCAATCAAGCTACTCAGCCACGAAGGACGGCAGGCTGCATCCCAGGGTCTTCAGCTACAGACGACGGGCTTTTACGGATGAATGCACAGAATGGATCGTGGGCACCCTCGCTGATTGCCTGCACCACCATCCATTCTAAACGACTCTTGTCATGTTGAGGTGGTCTTCCTCCACCTGAGCAAAATTCTCACTGCACTCGCTGCCGCTTTCTACGTCGTCTTCCCCCATGGCATCTTTCTCTCCAAGGATCCCTGCTGCCGTCGACAGCACCACCTTCTCGTTTCTAGTCTACGCCTTGAACTCGACCCGAACCATCTCGCAGTTGCTCGAGATTCGAACGAGAAACCTCAGCCAAGCTTGCAACAGCCCCATCGACACCTACGGTACAGCCGCACCAGAGCTTCTCCTTCGACATTCCCCGATTTCCTCCGCGCTGGCGCTCACGCGAGCTGTCTCCCCCAAAGCAACGCTTGTACCCAATGTGGACACAATCATGACTAAGGACTGCGCGGTCGATGACACGACAGCAAGAAATTTAATGCGGCGAGGCCGTTCGAGGAAGGCAGGGTTACCTTTGCGACGTCCATTTCCTTGGGGTTGGCATCACTACCAGTAGCAGACGGGCTTGAGGCGGGATGCTACATCGAGACTGCGGTGGTCGGCTGCTGGCGCTACTGTTGATGACGTACAGCCTGATATTGATCCATCACGCTTTCGTAGACGATCAGGGTCATTGGGTTAGTGGCTGATGTATGCATGTAGCCACATGCTCGGACTCGGCTCTGACGAGATGCGCAACGCCCACAAGTGTTGGCAGGAGTAGCCTAGTCGTAGGAGCGATATCCCCGGAAGACTGGCGTGATGATATTCTTGTTGTTGGCGCTATGTTCATCATGTTTTGAGGAAACGGCGTCGCCCTCCGGCATTTACCATGCTCCTAGCCAGCTCAGTAGCTCGGCTAGCATGGAGAGGCAATTGAAACCCATCCTTGGGGATACCCAAACTCACGAACAGGAGCAGACCCATCATCGCCGCTAAACTCGCTCGCCGAATAGCAGCGTGATCATGATCAGATACCAGCTCCCAACTGCCTCGCCAACTTGTTTCAGTTTCATTTGTGACTTGTACTATGATTCCTTTGAAGATGCATCCGTCTGCAGGCGTCCTCCCGTTTCAATGGACGATAAGACCAGTCCTATGTAAAGATTCCAGTGGCGTCTGTTCAGGCCTTCCAGGGGCCCAATCACGGTCAATGGAGATCATCAAGCAAAGGACCACTGAGTGTTAGCATGCATGTATATACAGCTTTTAGGGCATCAGTCTTCACATACGACCATACCCACTGGAGAACTCGGGATCCCGTCCGCTCTGAGGGCCGGATTAGTAGTTGGGTCGGTGACGACTAGCGAATACCTGGTGTTGTATGTTTTTGTTCCCGAATGTGTCTTTCTTTTTTGCTGTCAGTTCATCATGTGTAGGTCCCATGCAAAGGTTGAAGTTTATACCCTGTATGTAACCTGAGGTCTATTATGGTGTTTTTGCCCGTACCAGGCCCGTGCAAGACTAGGTTTAGACTCAGTACCTACTTGTTTCCCCCGTCCTGTCGGTTAGCACGACATGATCAAACAATAATGGCTCGCTGTCTGACGTGAATCAATTGAATGGACATGCGTAGTTTATCTCTAAGTGCCCTTTCAACCCCGATCTCAATCGAACTCATCGGCCAAGAACTGGTGTTGGGAGTGAGAATGTCGTGGTAATCATGCCCGCTAGGGCGGGGACGTGCATGGGTAGGTACGGGTAACAGCGGCCTTAGAAAAGCGCCCCAGCCCGGCGGTGGCGTCTGAACGAGAACCTCCACTCCCGTCAGTGATGCCTTTACTTGCGCTTTTCCAGCGGGTCAGTACCCAGTGGCGCTGGGTGCTCAGGTATTATTTCGAACTTCTGACGCATCGCACCGAATTTCCGGGCAAAGAACAAAGCGTTATGTACCTATGAGAATTGGCTCTCTCCCTCGGCCGACAGATCATCCAAGGAGAAAGCGCGAGCCTCTCGGAGCACCGTGCCTCGGCCGAATCTCGGCTTTTTGACAGCGCCCCGGCCCGTCCCGGAAATTTTCCATGTCCACATCTGCTACAACCTGACCGTCTCATCTCGCATCGCCCTAATTCACGAGGTGGAATATCGTTCCGAGTCTGATTCATTGAGTGTGGATGGGAGGGGGGGGGGGATGTTGAGGAGCCCTGGAACCTGTCGAAACACATGCTCTATCCGTCACCGCCGAGACGCCGTCTTTCCAGCGGCGTTCGATACTCTACCAACATCTGACCAACGACACCATGTCTGGACCTACCTCCGTCAACGGAAAGCATATTTGACGTCTAACGTCAAACATAGCGGTGATCTCCGAGTCCGATGGTGACAAGAGGACCCGATCAACCCAGCAACGTTACTCAAGTCGAAATACAAATTATTCTCGGCCTCAATGTCTTTTACTACATCACGATGACATCTGCAAAGCCCGTCTAGTCTTCTTGCCTTGAAGCCAGCGCTAATTTGCCAACAAAACAGTTGTAATTGTGTCGCTCTTCTTTTGCAATTGCTTCCAAATATCCCCTTTACAGCCAAGCAATCACATATCGTATTTGTCGTACGTAGAGGACTCGGACGGGATTAAGCAAGATGAAATTTGTACTTGGCCTTGGACAAGACAGAAACAGAACACACCCAAACACCAACCGATAACACACTGAAGCCAACAGCAAGATTCCAATAGCAAATTTCCAACCAAACAGAAAACCCAAACACCATTTCAAGTTACCACAGACGACCCAATTCCCTTTACTCGTTCAAAGCCAAAGCATAGGCTCTCCCTCGAACACCTCCCTAGACCTCTCCGCCGCTTTCTCTTTCGTCATCTCGGTCGTCACCGCCTCGTTGAAGCTCATCCAGCTGTGAACGAATCTTTCAATCCGCATGCTCTGCTGCTCTTTGAGCTCCCTTGTGGCCTTATCAGAGCGCCCTTCGTACACACTGTCCTTGAAGCTCTGCTCGCTCGATGCCGCGATGTGAGGAACGGATGCGTCGAGGCGCTGTACGGCTGGCAACGTGTGCCCCTCGGCGCGCTTTCTGACGCGTCTCTTGGCATGCTTCTTGGTACTCTTCCGCTGCTTTTTGGTGACCTTGGGCTTTTTCAACTTGTCAAGGCTCAACGATCTGGCCAGGACGGGCTGGGACCTTTTCGAGGATTCGTTGTCGGTGTCGCTTGGAATGTCGTAGATGTCGCGATCTCTTGGAAGCTGTCTCTCTGCAGTAGGGCTGACGTTCGTCACGTTGACCGAATTCTTGGTGCTGGGGCTGAGAGGAGACTTGGAGAGCTTGGCGGAGAACCGTCCTTTGGACCGAGGAGACCAAGACTCGTCGCCAGATGAGGCTGGGTCATCAGAAGTCTGGGTGAAGGAGGTGCTGTTGGACTCGGTGTCGTCCTCGGCCATGGACACAAGTTGCTGATCGTCGGTGAGGAAATCATGTTGGGAAAGCCTGAAGTCGGTCACGCCGGGGAGAGAGATCGGATCTGGCGACTCGGAACGCGACGGGACGCGAGCAAGAGAGCCCACATGGACGGTTTTGCGCGTGGCAACGGGCGCCGGCGACATGGTGAAGGACTATATAGCCGTTAGCTTGAGAACCAGTTGTCGAGATATTACGTCGCGAGGATTGACCACCTTTTGAAATAGACAGAAAAGTAAAGACAGTGGTATTCCGACAATGTAGAGACAAGACAATTTGATATTCTGGTGGCTTGCTGGCGAGAAGCTGCTCGGCAGGAGCTGAAGTGGAAAGTCTCTGCGAGAAAGGTTGTGGGGGCACAAAACTTGAAAAAGATCGCAAGATTGGTAGGAACCGGTAGTCGCGACGCAACCTGACGCATTGGAAGTTAATGGGGGAAGGTGCGAGGAAACAAAGTCTGCCTCAGGTACAACGTCTCAACCTCCCAGGGCGAAACGAAGCCCGAGAACTCGAAGCTACTATCAAACGACAAGTCATTACCGGCAACAAATTCCGAACTCGCTGCAGCTGTCAGTTTCGAAATCGCTCCTTAGCAGAGCCGTCCGCTGCGTCTCCCGCTTCCGATCTTTCCGCGGACCAGGACTTTAACTTGTGTCCACTTACGAGCGCATTGTTTGGAAGCGGTTCTTTAGAGGTGCCTCCTTGAGCAAATCGGCGGTCTCATTGTTCGAATCCCTTCTCAATCCCGGCGATCAGATAGTCTGAGCTAACAAACCTCGCAGGCGCCAAATCTTTAACATCTTCGACGTTAGCAGACGGCAACATTTCCAACCGGTCGATCATTCGAACAAGAATAATTCTCGAGTTCATTCTTTGCACCACCTCTTCAGCCATAATGATCCGGTTCCTCGCTCCGATTTGAAGAAGAGATGGCAAGACGATACCATCCTGGGAACCAAAGTGCTTTCTCGTGGAGAAATGACGTTACCCAACAGCACATTGCCCTCGAGTGCAAGGAGGTGTTCTCCCCCTACCGCGCCAACTTTCGCTACGTCGCGTGGATTGTTTTACGAAGGTCGAGATCCTGAGTGCAAGCGCTTCGTTCTCAGTGAGAAGCTCGCTGAAAATGATGCTGGCGCAACTCTGAAGCGCCGCAGAAGACTTCCACCTTCTCCAGTACGAATTTTGTTGCCAACAGGACCCTTCACAGCATCCTCGATTGCGATGAGGCACTTACCTCTCTCAACACCGTGTCAGTCCGCCTGAACAGCTCACTCACGGAGGCATCATCCATTGAGCTCACTCGATGATGGCTGAGCCAACCCATCTACCCTACCCTGTGTTCTATCTCTACTCTCCCGTCGTCTCTTCTACCATCACACCTTCTTCGGTGTATTGAATAGCTTGTCGTCCCACAAGCTGCCTCAACGACAGATCGATCTTTACCCAAGGTCCTTCAACTCGTCAATTGGACCGAGGGGACCGAGGAGATTGACTTCAACATCCTCGTACAACCGTCAAATGAGATTCGCGCAACCTTCACCAGTCAGAAGTCGAGGCCGAGAACTTCAACGTCAAACAAAGGAACGTCAATCTCACGGACAAGGTTCTCTAACTCATCAAGAAAGCTTAGCAGACCGAAGCTGTCGGTTTGCCCGCCCTCGTCACGGTCACCTTCAACACCAAAGCTGCAACGACCAAACTAGGAGGCAATGGGCTGACGGAGGCGCCTGAACAGAAGGGAGGCTTGGGACAAACATGACTTCATGGCAGTCTTGCTCGCGTGCAAGACCAGCACAACCCAGACCATCATTCGCACGATGCCAGCCCCAACAACCCAGACTGCGTCTGATGGGAGCGTCCAGAACCACGACTCATGAGGACAGGCACGGAACATGACGTTGTTTTAAACTCTGGAACGCTTAGCCCATCGCTCAGAGTCAACGACCAGGCACTACTTTTCCAAGTTGCTCTTCAACTCAAGGTCTTCACCACCTTCGCTAGCTGACCGGGGTACTTCGTTCTTCGCTCACGCAATATTGTTACTGCGCTACGTTCTTGTACTCTACACACGACAGGGCCAAATTCGTCATCGGTTCCCTGCTTTACGACCGTCACCAGCAGCCATGAGGCACGTTGACTGGCCAGATCTCTGATTTCCAGTCAAGTCCCTTCCAACCAGATATCTTTCGCCAGGCTGTCATGGCTGGACTGCGGCAAGTTTGTTCCTCAATCGTTTGGATCTTTCGCATCCTTACCTTCGCAGTTTCGGACGGTCATAATCGAGCGCGCCGCGGACTCGTGATCATGGCCGAACTTACAATTTCCGGAAAGTTCTCTCATGCCTCGGCGGCGGTTCCCACTGGAATCCATGGCCGTCGTCGTCGATTCTTCGCAGGGCCTCAATGGATTAATCGGAAATGCGCCTCGGGCGGCCCATTCAACTGGAACAGAGTCGAGGCGCTACGAGCCTAGCACAACCACGGTCTCTTGCGATTCTTATGATTCTAGTCAGAGTACAAAGTCTCGACCAAGACGTTGGTCCTCCAACTTGGGCGTCTAGGTGGCGGCAACCAACCACAAGCATCGCAGGCTCACCATATATCGACGGACGCCCATGGCCTCGACAGCATTCACATTCGCGATAGGGACCCAGGCTACTACCTACCTCGGAATACTGCCGATTACAGGTCAATCCATGGAACATTATGTCTCAAGCTCCTGTATGATTTGGTATGGCTCGCCCAGCTGCAGCGAAGCAGCCAGCAAATGGCAAGAAGTTCCGCCAAACACATGGACGTCAACATCATTGCCGCAACGCAGAGGAAGAGATTCAGTGCGGACCAACCAGCGGGGGCCATCATGGCCATCCACCAGATTGCCAACATTATCTCAAACGTCCTGCGAGGACATTCTCAACCAACCTTTGAACGCCAACGGGGTGGAGGTGGGCGGCTTTTGATGTCCAATTTAAACCTCTCTGGAAGCGCACCTCAAAAACCCCCCACAACACCTCTTAAGCCTCAAGACGTACATTCTCCAGGTCATCGACGCCTCCAAGACTTCGGGAGGTATATCTCAAAGATCTCTCACGACGCCCCCTCTGCCTTCGCCAACGATTTCAGCAAGAGAACTGCCTCTGACCCCAAACCCTCCGGAACGACATCACCGCAGCCAGCCTTCCAAACACATCGGCAACTACGATCGAATGCCCAAAGGTCTACGGTGACGTTTTGCTGGAAATTGACTCTCAGGGTTCGACGCCGAGTTCGCGCAATCGCTGGATAAATCTGACCGAGAGTTCATCAACATTGCCGAGGTTTGCAAGTCAGGCTTGATCAAATCACCAGAGCCGGCGAAGTAACGGAACATTTATTTAAGAGCGGCACGGGCATTTAGGAAGATTCTTGCCTCGTTTCCATCAATACAAAGGAGGTTACAAGTCAGGCTTACAAGTTACTGGAGGTATTACGCCTCCCGGCTTGGCTTCGCGACGTCCTTCAACATCCAGCTCAACCACATTCACGGAGGTCCCATTGCGACGACTGCTCATCTCTCAGAGGTCTTTCACCCGCACTTTCACGTTTTGGTGTCCTTGGCTATGGCAACGGCGTGGCTCGGCCGGCGTCTTTCGGGAGCTCTCCTACCTTCTTCTCAGAAGAATCAACAGCAGCCGCGCGACCGTCCCATCGCAAAGGCCAACCACACAGTCACAAGACAGCGTTGTATCAAACCAGTCAAGCACGATCTCATCGGATTCTCCAGTGTCGCGGCGTCATCTATGGGGAGGATGTTTTCTTTCATCAGCACTTCCAAGGGTCAGATACCGTTTCTCCTTCGCCGCATCTATGCCAAGGAGTAGCATAGGACTACCAACAAGAAGAGCGTTTACGTCTGCCCCTGAGACCCATCCGGCGTCTTTGGGCGCGACGGCTCCATCTCTCTCCTCTGACGCAGGACCCAAAGCACACGGTGATGCCTTAGTTCTCGCCAGTACTGGGTTTGCGCGAGTCGTTGAGTTGCGGACTAAATTAACACCTTCCGGGAAGTCGCTGAAACACCCAAAGATCAACAAGCTTTTTCCCGGGCTCGGGGGGAAACCTTTCAAGATCATCTCAACGAAATCTGCGCCGCCGCTCGAGGTATGTTGCCATGAGGCCTCACCAGCACCCACAGATGCAATCAGCTGAATAACAAGTGATCAGATCTGAAGACGAACGCCGCTTCCAAGTTCAAATCTGCCATTGTATCCCGCACGCGTGCGCGTAGCCCGGACGACGACGACGACGGCGAGAATGCCGGTTCCGAGTCCCCTCACAAGGTCGCTTCCAGTCTCGCACAACACTTAGCCAGAATTAATTCTCGACAAAGCGCCATGATTTTGCAGAAGAATTGTGAGAAAAGAATCAGGAAAACCGCCGAAGTTCTTATACAGAATACGGCGCCAGTTAAGCCACACTACAACGAGAAGGTCGATCTCTGGAGTTTAGGTGCCTTGAAGTACGAATTCCTCGTTGAGGAGGCGCCCTTTGAGGACACACCCGTCATGTCACAGAGGAGTGTCGTTCGGACAGACAAGACTGGCCGTCATTCGTCAGCCCCGAGGCGAAGGAGATGTTCAAGAAGGGAAGCAACGCTGGCGTTGTAGCGCAGCCTGGGAGGGGCATCCTTGGGTGAGGGCCGGGAGTGCTTGAGGAAGGGGTTGAGACCAGAGCTTGAATAGGATCAGGGTGACCAAGGGAAGGGAAGGAGAGGAGTGTAGCTGTGGATGATGGTTCTGCTGAAGAGGAAGAGGGGGGGCAGGGCGCGAGACTTGCTGATTTCGACGTGTTCGGTACCTGCTCCAACTCACCATCTGGCGGACTCGCTCCCAAGCCATCTCTCTCCGCCTATCCTTACTCTGGTGACCTCGTACCTTCTTCCGGCGCGCTTCCGCGGCGCGTGGCCCCAACGGAGGTCGGTTTCGCAACCCCGATCCCGGTTCTCTTCATCCAGGTTCCTGAGACGGTCGCGGTGTTGGATCTCTGGAGACGCGAGGGGTATCTATCCGCAGGATTAGATGAGTATCACGGTCAAGATTTGCACGATTGGTGCTCATGAAACATGCGATCACCCCTGAACGAGACTGGGTTGAGGACATACAGTGAGTCTTTGCACGTGGAAAGGCAGTGGACTGATCAGTCAGACTGCCTAGACCCCTGGCACATCTACTTTAGTCGAACTCTCGGGTTGTCAAGTCCAAAAAGCCCGGGATCGCTATGCTTCCTTCGGGAGAAGCAAGCTACGCGAGAGGGAATCACGTCACAGACAACATCGTGAATGAAATTTCCGCAGGTGGTAAAGCCATCCAGACGATACTAGCAACGCTTAAGGCGGCTGATCCGCTGGAGACGCCACGTTGCTAGAAATATGCCACCACTTCCTCGGAGTTCTCGAGGGCGCGCGAGTAGGGAGCATTGTTCATTGGCTCTCCTCATCCTTGGAGACATTGCTCGCAAGCAGCGGCGCAACCTTGCGTTGGATATCTTGCATCTTCTGGGAAGCGGGAATGGGAGCCTTTTGCTCGGGTTTGAGGAGCTCGTGGTTTGCCAAGGTGAGGCTCTCAGAGTCCAGACGGCTTGAGCTGAAGCCTCCTGGAATCGTCGGGAGAATAGCAGGGACGTCCGCTCCACATCGTTCTTTTGGCTGACGGTAGTGGTCGCAGCTCCGGCGGGAGGCGAGTGTTGTTGGCTGGGGATGGCTTGTTGAAAGATCTTTCGGCAGTAATCGTGGACGTCCAGCCTTCACATCGCGAGCTCGAGGTAGCCGTTCGATGTCCGGCGAAACACCCGTGATGAAATCGTTGCTCGAGGGAGCCGGCGCGTACAAAGTGCCTGTAGCCACCACATGATTAGTATACGAAGCAAAAATGCCGGGGGAAGCAAAGTAGCAAACGCAGACATCGAGACCACTTACGCGGTACCGACGACCCCAGCCGACGACGGCAATCAGGATCTCTTCGGATGGTGTCCGGGGTTGTAGATTGTGAATTTGAAGACTTGCTGCGAGTTTCCCACCGGCGAGGAAACGTGCATCGGTCGCAAGTGCGCATGTTCGGTCGCTCAGGATCAGCGATGTACCTTACCTTGTGGTGCCATGCTTCGTCAGGTAGAAGCAACGAGAAGAAGACCAAGGGCGGGCGGGACAGTGGGAAGCAAAAGAGAGCGAGCAAGAGGAAGAAAGCGACCGAGGGCGAGCGAGGCGAAGAGGAGCAGAAGCCAGCGGGCAGGAAAAGCAATATTGGCAGGGGCAAATGAGGGGGCGAAATGCATGGTGTTGTCGCGCAGTATCATTCGTGATGATCAACCATGCGTTGGCGTTGCGCGTCGTCGCCGAATTGGTGGTTTCTGGTCGATGGTTCCGTGCTGGCGTTGGGCCATAATCGACAAAAGCTCGCGGCCGTTGTGACTTCTTAGGGCGCAGGAAATGGCCGTCGGCTTCAGGGGCTTGCGCGCTGTAAGGTCTAGGTGTAGCTGGGAACACCCGTGGACCCGGGAAATGGTGCAGGTCCAGTACCTCAAGGCACCTTGTGCGGTACGTGCCGAACCCTGTCAGCGGCTGTCAAGGATGGGGGTAGGTACTTGCCTGGTGCCTTAGTAAGGTACCCGTGGACGTTCCAAGGCTCCACCCAATGAAAGATTTCCGACGAATTTCGGAAAAGTGTGACTAGGTTGCGTCGGAAAACTGAGTCAGCATTAGCTCTTGCACTTGCGACCCCCGGCCCGTTGTCACTTGAACCTGTGTGGGCGCGCTGCTTTGGCGGTGCGCTGGCATTTTTCTCAGCAACGCTCTAAAAGGCCCGTGCGCGCCGACTTGCCTCAGTCAAGCTTCCAATTCTCCAGCACCAGCCAAATAATAGTACGTCAGACCACTCACCTTGACAATCGCATTTCGACACGCCTCACCAAGTTCTTCCCTGAGAACAAAGCCGTATTTCTATTTGACACCCTCAAGCGACATTTGTGCTGCGATTCCTGGTCCACTGAAGGCAATGTCACCCTCAGCACCTTTCGCTCCCACCCGACCGTCGCCGTCGAGATACGCCAGACACTAGCCATCCGACCGCCCTCCTGTACATCGCCGCGCACATCGTCCGTCAACTGCAGCGTGAGTGGCCTCCCGTGCTACTGGAAACTGAAGGTATTCTGAGCTGACTTGAGCACCAGCGTCGATCACTGCGAGCCCGCGAACTGAACGAACCGAGCGAACCGAGCGAACCTCCCCAACTCCGACTGCCAGCTCCTCTGCGATCCCTCGACGACCCGCACACAGACTGCAACACTGCAAAATTCCCGCGATCCTCCGAACAACCCGAGCAGGCGAACTCAGACTGCTCTGCGATTCCTCGACCAACCCAAACAGGCCGAACCCAGAGTGCAATGTGAACTACTCTGCGGTCGCGACTCGCTTGACGATTCGAACCCGAGCCACGACTGCTAACTACCCCGCGATCCCTCGACCAACCGAGCAGGCCAAAGCCCAACCACGAGGAGGTGGAGGCGGTGTTTTTGGAGGGGTCTGTTCATGCCGTGCGAGAACGAACACCTGCCGGAAGAGACTACGGCTGCTCCTCAACTAGAGGAAGAGGAAGAGGAAGAGGACGAAGCAGGTCAACAACTGTCGAGCACACCTATACCCTCGCCGGGACAGAGACGCTGAACGACTGGAGAAGTAGCCTTCAAGAGCGAGCCCGTGGACGAGGCTTCAGCAGCAGCGCCTCATCGTCCCGCAAACACGCAACATGACGGTAACAGAGCCGAGAGCTCGCGCTCGCGCGCTCATCCTCTGACTACAAACCACTCCACGACCTTTCCATGATTCAAGCAGGCTAGAGGACCAACGGCGAACCCCGGCCACGATTGCGAGCCAGTCCGTCATCCTCCAACGGCTCCAGCAACGGAGGACTAACGGCCAGCGACCTCCGCTCTCCACATCGACCTCACAGTCTCAGCGTTCTGCTTCGCCCTCCTCGCACTGCTACGCGCACCGTCGAGCCGGCAACCTCCCCTGAGCGCTGATCGTCTTCGATCTCGAACCGGCTAGCGTGCTCAGCTTAAGCTCCGCCACCATGCCAAGTTGGATCCTCGACTGACTGCTTTGTATCGTTGTTCGAACTACTCGCAGTCTATCCGTGTTTGGATTCTATCGATCTGATTGCTTGGGAATGAAAGCATGAAGACCTGGACAGATAAAGGAAGCTGATGCTATCCCGGAAGGCCCAATGCTCGGGAACGATCTCTACTCCAACGTCGGTGCTTGTCGGCGTTGACGTGACCATCGTCGAGCGAGTCTTGGTCTGCGCATTCTTGACCGGCAGCTCGCCATTGCCCCACGATACCCGAGCGGCGCCGCATGTACAAACCTGGCACGATTCAGCGGTTCTCGCGCCGGCTACCAGCGGCGCCTGAGGTGGAAAGAATCACCAATGGGAAACCAACCGCTGTCGGAGGAATGAAGGGATCCCTCGACTTCTGAGAAGTCTGCCGCGTGAGTTTCCGTTCGACAGTGCTGCTTTCTCGGTCTGTTTGGTGAATGGAACTTGTTCAATCCCCCTTGCTGGGCATTCTTACTTTGGGCCGCGGTCTGAAGTTCACGCCGTCCTGCATCTGGCCCCGGGTTCGACATGACTTCCGTACCTTTCTTGGTCATCCTCAGCACGCTCCCGTCCGAAGTGAGGAAACATATCGAACTTCAAGTACCAAAAGTAAACGCCCAAACCGAGTCGATGTTTATATTACAAACACATCATACGGCCTTCAGCAGAGGAAAGACCTGATCACCTTTCGTCCAGACCAGACATCACCCACATGCGTCCCCGGTTCTCCAGGCCGCGGTACTCTATGGACCGGCACCACTGGCTGCCAAGGGTGACAGGCTTTCTCTGGAATGCTGAGTCCCAGGGCACAGCCAGCACAAACCGAAAACTACGGCCGTAATGCCTCTGACTCGAGGAACTATACCGCAAGACGAAGACTTCTTCTGCATGCCACATATTGAATGGCTTGGTGGGTTGGCTTCTCGACAGCTACAACGACGCACTGAGGCAATACACGATACGGAGCGCGGTCCGGATCAGCTTCGCTTGCGTCCAACCATGGACGCACCTGAGGTTAGCAGCAACCCTCTGTCTGGAGAAGACAAGATGTCCACCCTCATGCGTCACCTCTACGAAGTGAGGATTGGTGCTGACCACCTGGTGGTGGTCCTTGCGAGACAGAATCAGCCGATCCACACCTCGGCTTCGTCCCCCTTGCCGTCATCATCCTCAACGACATCGAAGGCGAGCCTCAGGAGTAGCCGCGGCTGGGCGGGATGACTGAGCAATATGTCTCCGGAAAAGCACTACCTCCACAATCCATCGGTACAAGAGCGCGAGTAGGCGATGATTAGGGGCATGAAATGAAACAGTTGGAAGACGCTATTGCGGTTTTATGCGGCTCTCTCCCGATGTGGCCGAAGATGGGATGTCTGGGATTCGCGGGCTTATGCAGGCTCGCCAAGGACCTTTGAATGCGTCTCGACTGTGGAGCTGTTGCGCGCAAGGGCAGGCTTGGGTAGAATAACCCACAAGTAGCTGGTTGAGGGAGATTCTGTGAAGGTTTCTGCAGTTACCCGAAGAGACTACTTGTGCATCAGAAGTCTTCATACAGGCTCTGATACAGGTACCTGAAGAATCATGACTGTAACGCAGCAAACAAACCCTGAGATACGTCCTCATGATGTGACTATTTCCGCGGCTCTTCGATTCGTTAAGTCAACGCGATAGGTGCTCGAGGTGGGGTGCACCCGCGCCTAACATCCAAAACGAATCACATCCATGGCTCGAACCCAGCAAACGATCAGGAACCAGTCCCACTCCGTGGCATTATCAAAGCGACTGTCGCCCTCAGCTGGAGTTCTCGCAGAAATCCCATCAACTTGGGCTGGCCAGACTCTGGGTACGTAAAACTAGACCTACCCCCCAGATGATTTCAAAGCTGATAGCCCGCAAAACTCAACTCCAATTCTCAGCGACATTCACCGCGTCTCAAGCTTGCCAACCTGACGCCACCGCCGTCGACCTAGTTCGGAGGAGCACGCAAAGCCCGCAGCATACATCGCGCTTTCACCACGCGCTCGGAAAGCTTAATGCCTCAAAGTTTGCTGATGGCTTCTCTGTGACAGGAAGTCGTGGTCCGCTTGAGACTCTTTGGCGGACAGAGAAACACGTGAGATATGGAGGTCGGAGCTGCCGGAGTCGCCTCAGGACAGAATCGGGCGCTTCCACTGGCGCGGCTCCGAGAGCTGCGGGGATGGGCGGCGCAGCTTGTGCCTCCCCATTCTGAGCTTCCACTTCTGGTTGAACGTGTGGATAGCAAGCAGGGAAAAGAAAACGAAGTGAGGATAACTTTCTCGAGTCGAGCTCCTCGCTTCTCAGCTCCCACTTTAGCCTGAGTCGGGCAGAAACGTACACCTACGTCAGGCTCTCCGCCATCTGCGACTGAGATGCCGTTGCTCTTGTCCGCATCCTGTGCCGTGCGCCGAGAGATGTCTCTCTCAGCTGTCTCGTTTGAGCCCAATCCTGGTGCATCGTTCCACGGTCTGGCCAGTCATGAGGCAAAGCCAATGTACTGGTGATTTGGCGATGATTACACTCAATGGGATCCATGGGACGGGGAAGTACGGGATATGGCCTATAAAGTTCGTCCGGTGTTGTCGTCTCCATTCGGTCCCGTTGCCTCCGTCCGACCTCTAGGCCGCTTGCTTCTGCTGCACTCTGGCTCCACACCCTCGATCTGTACCTTCTTCCAATGCCAGCCGAATCTCTACGAGGACCTCTGGAGAAGGAAAGGGGCAGGTAGAAGGAAGAAAGCCGGTAGGCCTATTATTTCGCAGTGTGTCTTCGTCCACTCCGAGCGCCAGAACCGGCGCCATGTCACCATCGGGACGGCAGTCTATCCAGCAGTAGAAGACAGCGGATATTGAAGAAGACGACACGCCAGGGCCCAGACATGCTGAATGAAAACTCGTCTCACAAGCTCGTCTCACCATCCCCACTATCTCATTTTATTCACTCAGATGGAGCTTTTCTCTCATATGCATTTTCACGTTGAATATATCGAAATCTATTGTCACACGTTGTTGTCTTGAATGAGAGGCCGGGTTTCATGTAGAACCTTTTGACCTCCGTCCTGCGAGAGGAAGTGCCAGCTTGGCGACATTACTTGATGCAGCGCATTCAGAAGGTGTGAACGCAAACTGTCTCGTGGTGCTTGGTGAAATTGTCCGAACG